AATTTAATTTAATTTAATTTAATTTAATTTAATTTAATTTAATTTAATTTAGACAAAACTATCCATTTCAGAATTTTTTTAGTTTATAATTTTTCTGATCTTAAATTCATTTCTTCTCATTTCTGAACCTGGAGATTAATTACACACACACACGAACACACATACGCACATACATACATATATACATACATTCAAAAATAATATACAGGAGTGTGATTTATTCCTAAATGTATGCATTTTTTACATTTTTCTCTAATAGCATCACAGGTATTTTATTTTACTAATACATACATTTCCCTAACATATACTTTTTTCTAATCATTTTTAATTGGAGAAATGCTTCACAATCTTTGGACGCATGAAATTACTGAATTATAACAGTGTTTTTGGTTCCTATATTGCTTTGGAAATGTGAATTACAGGGATGCATGAATTTGTCTCCCATTTCTGCCTTCAGTTTGTTTCTGTGGACAAGCTTATGGGGTCCTGCTTCTGTTTTCGTTGCTCCTTATCTTCCTCTCAACTAGCAAGTGACAGGAACAAGGAGATGCAATAGCAACCTCTTCTGCATGTCGACTCAGTACTTTTCTCCAAGACAAAAGTGCCCAAATTTACAGGGAGGATCCAAAGTGCATTTCTGCTGAACCTTTTGTGTTGGCCTTCTTCATCACTGTTTGAGAGGCATCAGGTGGCATAATTTCACCCTTCAACTTCATTCAAGGGGTTTCTTATTGTCCTTAATCTTTCCACCATGTCTCCAAGTGAGAAAGGGACTTCAGTCTCCAGCACTCCACTGCAGCACTTAGTTTTGTCAGACTGTCCTTCCAGGTCCACCCATGCCATAATATAATTTGGATATTCCAAAGTACTGGCGGCAGTGGGAGTTGGATCCAGAAGCAAAAGAAGCAGAAGCCAAGGAAGAGGGTCATCTTATTCAGTGGCTTACAAAATGCTAGACCCAATTGTCAGTTTCTTATCAACTATTATTTCAATCCTAAACCACTGCACTGTCAGTGTTTTAAAGTATGTGAAAGAGCAAGGTGATTGCCCCGGAAGATTTTGTCCCTGTATATGCTACTTAGTTTATCCTGAGCCAAAGGAGGGAAGACCATACTGGTGACTTCTGCAATAAAATCTTCTGAGTGTTGAAAGTCGTGCCACCTCTCTTTACAGAAACTGCACAATAAGGAGTTTTCCAAATACCAGTCTTTGTAGTATCCACAGACTGCAAGCTTTGAAAGGCCGCAGAAATAGCACGGGGGTGCATCATTTTAATATAATTTTATTAATAGCTCTTTCTTACTTAATATTACTTACATTTTGTAATAAATCATTCTATTCACTGCCACACAAACACAGAGAAGAATTTACATATTAGCAGTGGCACTTTTCATGTAGAGATGAATAAAACCCATCTGTCTACAGGGAGTAAGAAAGGCACAAACAGAAACGCTGAATTCTAATAGATCTCTCTGAATGAGTCTTTCACTGCACATTTTATGGGGGATAAAATTTACCTTCAGTTCCAATACTTTCTATAAAAAGAGTCAGGAGCATTCTTAATCTCAAAAACAATGTAAAGCCAACTTTAGTGTGCATTAAAACTGTTGCAATAGAACTTTGTGCCTCATTTCTCTTTAATGGATATATACTAGTAAAATGTTGCAGTTACCAAGTATAAGTAATGTAAGTTGCTTGTCACATTAACTGAAATGAGAAGAGAGAAATGGAAACTTTTTTAAGCAGCATGAAAATTCTTCAAAAGGAAGTATAGTTATAATTAATTTCTCTAAATCAGTCTAATATACTATATATTACTAGTATCTGTTATAATGTTTAATAAGGACTAAAAATTTCAAGTGATGAACAAAATTGTGACTTTATAAAGTGCTACAAAGGATATACCTAATGAATAAAGTATCTCTCCTTGTTAACTTCATCAGTCCAAGCTGGCAAGATCTAAAGTTGTTATGTTGCCCTAACAATATGCTAAGCAAATTTAAACAAGTGGCATGTGTGTGTGTGTCATAAATGAGTACTGTAAGGAGTAATAAATATGTTGTATTAGACATAAAAATTAGTATGATTAGTATTTCAGGAACACTGTTGCATCTACCTTGGATCTGAATTCCATCCTAACGATGGAAGAATCAGTTTGGACATCACCACAACCTAACTGAATAGATGGATTCTGCATGCCTCTCATATTGTCAACTGACCGTCTCTCTTTGATAAATACAATTCACAGAACACAAGTCATTTATATGGGAAGGGATGAAAGTAAGAAGCTGCCTTATCCTGAATAAAATCACTAGTCCATCTATCTCAGAACCAATAGAAGAGAATATATGTAGCTCAGGGTTGAACTGTGGAGTCCTTGGTGCTCTCTGAGCTTTGGTTGTTTGATCAGTGCACTGCTGATGGTACCTAGCCAGATAATGAAATGTCTGCAAGCAAACAAACAACCTCAGAGAGCACCAAGGACTCCATATCTCAGAACCATCCAAAGCTGGTCCAAGACATGCTATACTGCTAAAGTTAGTGTAGCAAACCATCCTCAAGATTCATAGTTCCGCAAGCCCATCAAATTATATTGATACATGAATTAAAAAAAACCTAATCACACCTCTCTCCCTCCCATGCAGTAAAACAAAAAATAAATTATATAATTAATAATTTGCTGACCAATCATATTTAATCATGGTTTATAGTAACCCTTTTATTACTGCTGTATTATAGCAACTGCCTGAAATGCCCATTATTCATTCTTCCTCATTACCTGCCTCAAAATAGGAAAATGCTTAGTGGAAATCATCATAAGACTACATAGAATATGAGAAGAATATAGATAGTCCTTAGGAGTGAGAGACAAATGGAATACTCATGTTGCAGTCTTAAATGGAGATTAAATTTACCATTTTAAGCAACATTATTTTGAGGTCAGCTGTGCTGAACTTTTGAGTAAACATGTATAGGCTTAGTTTGCTCATCAAATACCATCCAAATATTGTTAATCCCAATGTCGGTGTTAAAATCACTTGTGCTCTTTTTCTGAAATTTTTAAAGTAATTGAATAATAAAAGAGAGTGGGGTTTTTTTTCTACAACAGATATGTAATGCTCGGGAAACATATGCCAACAGAATTTCTGTCTATGACTGTGTACACAAAATATATTAAGCCATGATTTACTTAGACACTGAATAAGCCAAAGCTGGCTGCAATGCAACATACTAAAACATAATTTTGGTTTATAACCAATGCTTGCTGGATTCACACAACAAACTACTGTAAGCCACAAAACAAAAACAAAATGAAACAACCATCCCCCCCCCCACCAAGTTTGATTTAGCATATTGTAAAAATCCAACCCTTAAGTCTTTACTGCAGCATCTAAATCGATATGGGAAGAATTGTGCTGTTGTGTGCTGAAGTGAGGCAATCAAATCAAATCAAATCTTTATTACAGTCATAGACCAGCATAAAGTGAGGCAATCATCTGTCACATTGTCTCTGTGTATCTCAACTAAAATATTAAACCCACCTGATTTCTTAGTTGCCTAAGAAGAAAGTTGCACTAAACCCACAGAGACTTAGTCCTACTTAAGTATATTCAGGAATGTTACTGGCAGACAATAGTTGAACCAATATACGCAGGTTATGGCAGGTTTATCTCTGCAAAAATTTCTGATCTTGCATAACGTCCATCTAGGTACGCCTTGTCTTAGCCTACCTGCATTTCTGTCAGGCCTAGCCCAAGGAACTCCAAGAGACAATGCAAAATCAGTTCAGCTATGTTTATTAGCTACAACCTC